ATGTTAGTACAGGTGAAATAGAAACCTGAAACACGAAGGTCTAGTTTGCATGGCCTGAGTGAGTAAATCGTAAAAACGAAAACTGCTAACCCTAGGATATGTCCACAAGACCTATGAACCATAAATAGTAAGTGTCACGTGCAACGTAAACTGTCACGTGACCATGAAGCGCTGAAACCATAACACAAGCTCCCCCTTCCAACCGGCAAGACCCTTGACGACCACTCACCAAACTAACCCATCATCGCCCTCCGCGGACACCTACATAGCCATAGACTGGGATGGTGGTGTGGGGTACGACCTCCCAGTCAGCGTCGAGATCCTCTTGGGGTTGAGGATGAAACTCGGTGGGTGCCCAGTGCGAGATGGATCCGTCTTCATAGAGGACCGCCTTCAGTGCTTCGACACCGTTGGTAAGCCATCCAGGCCGCTCGATCATGGCAACGAGGGGTTGGAAGATGACCGGCGTGAACTCACGAGGTGTCTTGGCATCTCCGTAGTGGACTTGATCGGAGAACGTCCTGAAAAGTTCGACCTCGTATTGTTCGACGCCCTCTTCCTTGCCCGCGAAACGAACGCTGATCATATGCGTCCGGTTGGGTGTTGGATACCAGTCGTGCATGCCTGGAATGGGTGGCGGATAGAGCAGAGCAACCCATTGACTGAAGACACGGTGCGGTGAGTCCTCCGAGTAGAGGTGCCAGGCGACCTTCTGGTTGTCCCAAGTGAAGACGAAGGCGTGAAAGGTGGCGAAGTCGCCCATGCCCGTACGATGGACGTAGAGATGATGGCCATCGCGTTCCATGAGGAATGTTAGTGGCGTAGCGATGAAGACATCATAGGGTGATGCTACGTCTGGGGCGATGAGCGATACCTGTCCTGCCGCTGGGTTGCTCGAAGACTTGACCGTTCGAGCGTACCTTATTTGCTCCTTGATGGTGTCAGCCGGTGCAGGTTGCGATCCATCCTCGGGGATGGCATTGTAGGGGTAGGTGGCATCAGGACGGCAGGGGTAGCTGGTTTGTTCATCGTCGGCATTCCTTGCCTGTTCATCGTCGTCACCCCAGGCTCTCCCTGTCGTCCAAGATCCTCCCATCGTCCAAGATCCTCCCATCGTCCAAGATCCTCCCGTCATCCAACGACCTGTCTCGTCTTTGTCATCTCCCCACCGGGCACTCCTCCATGATTCAGCCAGTGCTTCATCGCTTAGGTTGCCGAGAAGCGGGAGGTCGTCTCCATCACTGTCGAGGAGTAGCCCTGGCTCCGATGTGCTGCGAGTGACGGTGGTGGTGACACGGATGTTGAGCGACATTGGTGGCGGTGGTAGAGCAGGGCGATTCTCTTTATCCCAAGGGTAGATTTCCTCATAGAGTTCCCACTCGAGTAGGAGGAGGCGATGGTCCAGTAGGGGGAAAGGAGGGCCGCTACTTATACCTTCAAGCAGCCGTTCTTCTTCTTCATACCAGTCCGTGATGTGGATGTTCGCCATTCCCGTGTGTTCTTCCGCTGGTATTGTCATTGTCCTTGATACGGTACTGTGTACGACACTGAATGCATCCAGAGTGAATGAGAGCGCTGCTGGTAAGATATCAAAGTGTAGCGGATGATTTAGAGCGTACGATGGTGGGAGGATTCCCACTGGAAGGCTGGCGTAGATGGCTGTTAGGATAGTCCGGCGTCGATCTGGCTCTAGCCGGGGCAGGTTGAGTTCCTCCGTTAGGTACATTGGGTAGTTCATTCTCATGAACGTTCCCCATGTTCCGTCTAGGTCGATATCGACGTCGTCCTCTAGCGTTACCTTCGGCTTGTCCGTTTGGAATGGAAACGGATAAGGGATTCTGATTAACCCGCTGGGGCGAGGGGTTAGATATGGCTGTCGTTGAGTTGACCTGAAGCCGTCCAGGAGGTGGACTTCGTGGACGTCGTCCGCTCTCTGGATGAGATGGTCCATCATGACTTGGATGGGTCGTGTTGAACTCGACGTTGGTATGGTCGAAGTCGGCAAGATCCTCGATGGCGAATCCAGCCCCTCTGATAGCGAGATAGATTCCAAGTTGCTGGAAGACCTGGTAACGATGATCGTGGGAGGAGTGGGATTCGACGTCTTCGAGAACTTCGATAAGATGCGCGAAAGTGGTGATAGCAGATTCAAGAAGCTCGGGATGCTGCACAGGCATTGGGGCATGGACTGAGGGTTCAGGCCAAGTTGTGCTCCCTTTTATACTCGTTCAGCAGCTCTCCTGCATTGCCCATTTCTGTCTCTTTTACCCACGACCTTTCGCTGAGCGGATATCCAGCCCATTTTACCAAATATTCGTTCTTGCTGCGCCGTAGTCGATGTCCAATTATAGACTCGATTTCAAATTCTTCCTCTCCTTCGATAAGATCCGGAGGCGGTGTGGAATAACTTTCCCCATGTGTATTGGTCTGCCGGTATGGCGTGAGCAATGCCGCATGGAACACCGGATGAATCTTCCATGTCGCAGGAAGGTCTAACTTGAACGAGAGTGGTCCCAGAACCTCCTTGATCCTGAATGGTCCTTCTCGCTTCGGCGCTAGCTTGTTCGATTTGTAAGGTCTTTTCAAATTGGTGGCTTCCAGCCAGACCCTGTCTCCTTTCTTGAACGTCGGAGATCCTCCTTTGATCCTGGCAGATACACGGGCTTTTGCCTTGACAATTCCTTCTGTGGCCTCCTTGCGGACCATGCTGAGAAGCTTGAGTCTTGCATCCACGTCGGGGATCTCGTCTTGAGGAAACAGTTCTGGCATTCCTCGGGGCTCATAGCCATACCATATTTCGAATGGTGACTTCTTTGTTACTGAATGCGTGTGAAGATTGTGCGCGAACTCTGCTTCGGATAGGAATTGATTCCATCGATGCGGTTGTTCCGCACAGTACATTCGAAGATATGTTTCCAATTCTTGATTCATTCGCTCCGTTTCACCGTCCGTCTGTGGATGATAGGCTGTGCTCATAGCCGACTTGATCTTGAGCGCAGTGCACAGTGCTTGGAATACTTTGGATGCGAATTGCGTTCCTCTGTCAGAGATGATCTTGTCGGGTAACCCAAAGCGTTTCCAAACTTGTCGTCTGAATAGCTCGGCGGTTTCCGAAGCCGTGATCGTCTTCTTGCAGGGACATAGAATTACCCCCTTACTAAGCCCATGGTCTACCACGACCATTATTGAATCGAAGCCTTCGCTTTTTGGTAGATCTGTAATAAAATCTACGCTAACCTGCTTGAAAGGTAGCGAATTGGGCGAAGGACCTATGGGCTGTAGTGGAACTTTGACCTTGTTATGAACAGCTTTGGATTGCTGACAGGTAGCGCATCCATTGATGTAGCTTTGGATGAAGCGATACATTCCCGGCCACCAGAAATCTTTGCGCACTAGTTGGTGCGTAACCCAGACTCCTGGATGACCATGGGGAGTGGCCTCATGGTATCGTCGAACAATTTCCTTCTTCAAGGCAGTATTGTTTGGGACATATACGCGTCCATGGATGGTGATTAAACCGTTGTCAGCATCCTTGATGTCGTCTTTTGTCATGCCTCGTGGAACTGGGAGTTCCTCCATTAGGCCGTCCTTGTACGCAAGTACCGATGGATCTTTTGTTAGCGCTTGTCGGATTTGCTCCGCCATATCTGTATCGATAGCGCCAATAAAGAGATCGTCAGGTAGCAGGATTGCAGGTGACTTGTTATCCTGTCGATTGTCTAATTCGGATAATCGTGAAAGCGCGTCTGCTTGCACCATTTGTCGTCCTGGTGTATGGACAATCTTGTAATTGAACATAGACAAGAAGAGTTGCCACCTTCGCTGTCTTGGGTTCAAGTCCTGCGGTTGCCTGAAGTACGTCAGATTCTTATGATCTGTGCGTATGAGGAATGGCTCCTTTGTTCCGTCAAGATAGTGTCTCCATTCCTTGAGTGCGCGGATGATTCCTAGCAACTCCTTATCATAGATCTGATAATTTCGTTCTGGGTCGGAGAGCGACTTGGAATAATATGCGCAGGCATGGAGATCACCATTATCGTCCTTCTGCATGAGGACTGCTCCTGTAGCAAAGTCCGATGCGTCGGTTTCGATGACAAAAGGCTTGTCTTTGTCCGGCATAA